CTAGATGAAACTCGGGATAAAACATCAGTGTTGATAGAGGATAGTGTCTATTGAAATGAGTTATAAGCTTAATGCCCCAGATACGATAGCCTAGATCGAGGTGACTGGAACATGGGTTTAGGGGAGACGTACTCGGAGACGTGTGGATAACCACGAAATCTAGCGTTCTCTCAACCACTTGGTTGGTTGTTTATTTTGCCTTAGGACTTAGGAGTAGGTTAATTTAGCTAAAACCCCATGGTAGTTCGAAGCTAAGTAATAATACACTTAGAGATCCCGTGGAATACAACCGAGCCACTTTACTACAACCCTAGCTAGGTTATACTTGATTTAGTTAGGATTGATTAGAAACTATGTTTTGACTTTATAAATTTAAAACTCGATCGCGCACCAGAGCACGATCAAAAAATAATATATTAATGATTACTTACAGTTGTATTGTAGAATATATTAGTATTTACGTACCGTTGTAGAATAATATTCAAATCCATCGTATTATGTTATCTAATTTGTAATTGCATAATTTTTATATAATAATTCAATAATAATGTCCTTTGATTGTGTTTGAGGTTGGCCCACCCAAAGCAAAATTGTTTGGAAGTGTCCAACCATGTTTTATTTTGCGATGCGGTATTGGATATTGTGGGTGTTGCCACAGGGGATTGCTGTCTTTATGAACAGTGACTTGGGTTATGGAGAAGCCAATAATTAAACTTAGCGAGATTTTCGTATGCAACATGAGAAATTTGACAATGCTATATAACATTGGTACTATAAGTTTTTATTTTTATAGTACAACATGAAATTGTATCTTTAACGTATGGTACAACTTCATATTGTACCTATACTTTTTGTACAAATTCTCTTATGGTACAACTTGAACTTGTACTCTTTTATGATGGTACAATTTCAAGTTGTAAAGTTCTACCATAACATAATGGTACAAATTGCTTTATGGTACAACCTGAACAAATACATTTAATGTTATGGTACAACTTCAAGTTGTACATTAAAGCACCAATGATATATAGCATTGTAGAAGGGCTCATGCAACAGTAATCAACTTGGGGCTTAATAATTATATATATATATATATATATATATATATATATATATATATGGTGATGACTGGTGTACGTCAGGCGTATACTATACGTCAGGTGATCTAGCCGTTAGATGTGCTTAGATGAGCTCCGGCCGATCTCAACGGTCAATTTTTATTTTTTATTTAATCAAACTTCGGGTTAGGGTTTAGAAAATCGGTGCCGGTTACTTCGGTGCACTCACTTTTTTGGGTGCATTGAATGCACCCAACTCTAAAGTTAGCCATAGACATCAAATTTTGAATTTTAACTCGTAGCATTTGTATAATACGATGATATAATAAATGATCATAACTAATCAATCAATTACCTTAACCCCTAAACCTTCAATTATGAACACCAACCCAAAATCTCAAAATGTGAACCCTAACCCTAACCCTAAATCCCTAAATCTTAAATCCTTCAAATCAAAGTAAATATATAATGATTTATTTTGTAAATTCATGGGGTTTATGTCTATCATGTCACAAGTAATGATTGACATCGTTTTGACATGAATCGCCTATTCAAAATGACGATTATAAGGCGGGTGCACTGAACGCACCCAAAAAAGTGAGTGCACCGAAGACACCACCATATATATATGTGTGTGTGTGGTTCTGTATTCGGTGCACCCACTTTTTCGGGTGCACTCAGTGCACCCGCCTCATAATTGTCATTCTGACCATGCGATTCATGTCAAAACTGTATCAATTGTTGCTTATGATATTATGAACAAGAAGCACATGAATTTGAAAAAAATTCATTCAAAATTTACTATAATTTGAAGGATTTAGGATTTAGGGATTTAGGGATAGGGTTTAGGTTTACAATTTGGGATTTTAGGTTGGGATTCAAAATTGAATGTTAAGGGGTTAGGGTAATGGATTGATTTGTTATGATTCTATGTCATATCATCATATTATATTGAGAGTACTAATTAAAGTTCAAAATTTGATATATTATGGATGCTTTTAGAGTTGGGTGCACTCAGTGCACCCAAAAAAGTGAGTGCACCTAAGTAGCCACCATATATATATATTTTATATATATAGGTGCCTTCTACGGTACTCCGGGTGCGGATACCTTGATACAATACTCTAACCCTTAATGAGTGAACCCTATGTCCTAATTATCTAAATCATAAATTATAAACCTCATATGGTGCATTAATTTTTTGCCTATATTTGGACGAATCATAACCGTCGATTATTGTTTCTAATTAAATTGATGGGTAATGTCTATTTTTTATCCAAACCTTTTTCAGATTCTTTTATTTTATCCAAACCTAATAAAATGCTATTAATTATCCAAATCTTTCGTAATGAATCAAAATATTAGCCATTTTTACGTTATCGTTAATAATTTTGTAACTCTTTTCTTAGATAAAATACTAAAATTTTGTAATGTTGACCTTCATGTGTCTCTTCCAAATCAGTATCATGTTGCCAAGTCAATATTACTAACAAAATTGCTAACTGAAAGTTAACGTTGGGTTAACTCTTAGTATTTTGATAGATTTGGTTAATAAAAAAGAATCCGAAAAAGATTTGGATAAAAAATAGACATTGCCCTAAATTGATCTTGGGGTATAAGATTTAGAGAATTAAGACCTAGATTTTGATCTTTAAGGGTTATAGTATAGTATCATGTACGAAAAATTAGACAATTCAAATTTTGTATAGCGTTTTCTTACTCAAGGTATGCGGTATCCCGGATTTCACCCTGGGTAATGTAGAACTCCCCATATATTTAACTTATATTATGCGTAAGTCATGGGTTAGAAAGTAACATTTTGATATCTAGGTAAAATAAATATTAGCATAAAAACAGTCTATTAATCCATGCAAAAAGTTAATGAATCAAATATTAATAACAAGTTATAACATAAAACTAGGCATCCTATGAGAGGACCGCTCCTTCCTTGGCACCAAAGATAGATACCACAAAGATATGATTAGAGGAGAATTGAGCAGAATTAAGGGGATTGAAATTAAGAAGCTTGCTTTGTGGGAGTAAAATTCATGGCAGCAATGTTGTCCTATAATTCCTTCACCTTTTTGTCCTCATAAAAAAAAACATTAAGAAGCTTGAAACTTGAAAGGGATTTAGAGAAGAGAAATTTGAGAGAGGAAGAACATAGAACGGTGGAAACAAAACGATACTTGTCTTATCAATTCCTTAATAATCCCAACGAAACGTCTAAATCACATTATATAATCTCTCATCACATGACAAAATACTAATCCAACAAGGAGAAGATACGATGCTAACTTCATAGGGGTTAGCACCATCCTAACTAGCATTTATTTTTATGTTTAATATAATTAAAGAAAGGGCAAATTAGAAAATTACGGAATAATTAAATTTTTGGAAATTATTGCTGATTTTTAGGGGAAATTGTAATGGAATGCGGTTACAATTTTTTTTCTCTCTCCTCCTCTCCATCATAGCTCTCGGTCTATACCTAAAAAAACTACATGGAAAACACTACTACCTCTTCAAGTACTACTAAAAATTACTATTATTCATGCAACTAAGACATTACTCTATTGTTTTAGGTGTGTAGTAGTAATTTGGTAGGCTTAGTATCTCCCTCTCTCTCTTTATAATTTATATATATCACATGTGTCCATTTTTTTACCGTGAAAGGGATCTTTGAGAATGGTAGTGTTTTCATGGTAGTAGAAAAGTCAAAATCAAAATATTTTTTTAAGGTTGATATGATTTTGAGTGGTAATTTTAAAGTTAGTAGTGATTTTGTAGCTATTAGTAGTTATTTAGCACGTTTGTGGTAGTAACTTTAAGACGATAGTGAGATTCAGTGCATTAGTAGCATTTGATTTGATGATTTGTAGTAGTTAATTGATGATATATAGTAATGATTTTATTATTTGTAGTAGTGATTTATGGTTATTTGTAGGGCTGCAAATGAGCCGAGCTGAGCCGAGTTTTACCCAGCTTGAGCTTGACTCGTTAACAAATGAGCTGAGCTCGAGCCCGAGCCATTTATTAACGAGCTGAGTCGAGTCGAGTTCGAGTTAGGCTTGTTTACTAAATTCTTAGATCGTATTTAATACATTCATTTTGTATGTCGTGTATGGTACATGTGATTGATGTAGTGATAAAAAAATAATCAAATGTTCAACATTAATTAATCTTATATTATAATTTTTAGGTGTCATATTGTTTAGTTAATAAATTTTAACTAGTTCAAATCATGTTATTTCATAGTATCGAAATAATTTTTTACATAATTTCTTTATAGAGTTAAAAATAAGGCATATTTTCTTACATGTTCAACATGTTAAACTTCACATGATGTGAGATATATAATTTAACAATCCTATGAATTATGAAAGTCCAAATTAGATCGATTAGTCCATAAGTCAGTGATCAAGTTGGCCCTCAAACCACAATGTTGAGACATCTCATGAGCTCTAAATGAGCTAACTCACGAGTTGAGCTCAACAAGCCACCGAGTCGAGCTAGCTCGCGAGCTTCACGAGCTGAACATAGCTAGGCTCAAGCTTGGCTCGTCAGTAAACGAATCGAGTTTCGAACGAGTTTTTCCCGATTCGAGCCTCGAGTTGCTCGCGAGTAGCTTGGCTCATTTGCAGCCTTAGTTATTTGTAGTAGTAAATTGATGATAAATTACTACTACAAATCATCCAAATCGCTATATCTATACATGACCATTACTTGAAAATATCTATCACCAAAATTACTATCCCGTCCCAATTAATTAATGGGTTAAAATATACTTCGTGGATGTGAAATTAGAAGATGAAGGATAATGGACCATTCACTAATGATTTGCACAAAAAAAGAAGAAAGGATAATTAATGGGTTAGTACGCTGCTAACTATTAGGAAGTTAACAAGCCATCCCGTCTCAACATGCAGTCAGCATGCCCAATCACCCTTCCAAAAGCTGGCAATCAATGTCCTGAAAATAAACCCTAGACTCGTTCAAGTGATGATACCCAATGTTGTAACCCTGCTGCGCCATCATCCCAACAATGCTAAAACTCTCCGGCCTAACGACCGCCAAGCAGAAGACTCCATCACCGGCCAGAATGAACATCCCGCTACTCTCCACAACCAGCTCCGCGCCATCGGCGAAGTGAAGCCCCAACGCCGGGAACACTCGCCCTTCTTTACTCACCGACCCTCGATAACAAAGCTCCAACCCCCTCCGTCCCCCAACTTCAATAAGCACCGAGGAAGCCCGCTAACGAACCTCCGCCTTCACCACGTCATAGGCTGCTGAGTAGAGGAAGCTCAGCTCCGATCCGCTGTCTGTCAACCAGAGTGAAATAAGAAGGAACAACACACAATTTACGTGATATCCTCGTCGATGATGTGGAGACTAATCCACGGAGAGGAGCAACCTCTCAGAGTCAATCGTATAATCAGCCGATAGAATACTCAGGTTACAAGAGGGGCGGCCTTCAGCTTATGTACACAGCCACCAAAGCCTAACTACGACTTAAACGTAATTAAGCTAAACAAGGTTAATTACATTTTACTACTTACACTTCTAACACCCTCCCTCAAATTGATGGTACTTACGTAACATCAATTTGTGTGCTAGAAACCAGTGTCGGGAAGTAGCCACTACCTTAGTAAGCAAGTTTGAAGTCTGATCTTCAGAAGTGATGTAAGACAATAAAATCTGACCCTCAACAACCAAATGACGGATATAGTGAACATGGACTTCAATGTGCTTCGTTCTATCGTGTAGCACAAGATTAGTAGCAATCTTAATCGCACTGGTATTATCGGCATAGAGACGCATAGGCGAGAGACTAACCACACCAAAATCAGCTAAAAACCGACGCCACCAAACCAGCTTAGAAGTAACCTCAGACATGGAATGATATTCGGCCTCGGTGGAAGATTTAGACACACGGTCTTGCTTCTTACACCGCCAAGAGATGAACGACGAACCCACCTTGATGCACCAGCCAGACGTGGAGCGTCTAGTATCCAAACAACCAGCATAGTCCGCATCAGCAAAGGCCTCTATATCAGGAGTACCTGTAGAAGGAAAGAAAAGACCAACATCCCGGGTACCACGAAGGTAGCGCAGAATGCGCATGACTGCAAGGAGGTGAGTTGACCGGGGTGCAGACATGAACTGACTAATCACCTGAACTGCATAGGATATATCTGGGCGAGTATGAGTCAAATAGATAAGGCTGCCAACTATACTGCGATACTGAGATCCGTCATGGAGGAGATCTCTATCATCTTGTCGTAACTTCAGATTCTGTTCCATGGTGTAGCACACGGAATACATGACTCCATATTAGCCTGTTCTAATAGATCCACCACATATTTTTGTTGACAGACTAGCAATTCGGCAGCAGACCGATGAATCTCAAGTCCCAAGAAATATGACAGATCATCAAGCTCCTTAAGGTTAAAAGCATCTCGAAGCACACCTGTAAGTAACCGAATCCCTTCTTGATCATCCTTATAACCATATCATCAACATAGAAAAGAAGCACAGTAAGACCACGAGAAGTACAGCGTAAAAATAGAGAGGGGTCATTATCACTCTGATGAAATCCCGCCTGCTGAACAGTACTCTGAAATTTTTCAAACCAAGCCCGCGGTGCTTGTTTCAACCCATACAAAGAACGACGATGCAAGCACACCTGAGACTTATCTTTGGAGTAGCCAGGAGGGCACTCCATATAAATCGTCTCCTTTAAATCTCCATGCAGAAAAGCATTTTTTACATCCAACTGCGTCAAACTCCAGCCTTTCATGGCAGCAACAGCAAGCAGTGTGCGAACAGTCTGCATCTTCGACACAGGAGTAAAAGTCTCCTCATAATCAATTCCAAATTGCTGACAAAAACCTTGAGCTACAACTCGGGCTTTGAACCGTTCAAGGGATCCATCGGGATGTAATTTCACGTTGTACACCCACCGTGAGCCAATAACTGGATGATCGACAAGACGAGGAACAAGATCCCATGTGTGTTGAGCTTCCAATGCTCTAGTTTTCACAGCCATGGCTTCATCCCAATCCGCATTTCCACATGCCTGTTTATAAGTGGCTGGAATAGTGATGGGAGTGGTTGAAAAAGCAAGAAAATCACCTAGGCGGGGAGGAGGCTGCCCACGAGTAGCTCTAGTGGACCGATAGAGAGGAGGATCTGGAGGTGGACTGGAAGGCGAAGCATCAAGGTCAGTGGTAGCAGCACTTGAAGAGGATGAGAGGCCATAACAGAGGAGTAAGGTGTGGATGAGCTGGCGGACGAGCTTGAAGAAGAAGAGGCCAAAGAAGACAAGGCCTCAATGATTCCTGGAGACGATAGTCCGGCAGTAGAGGGAGTGCGGGGATCATCATCATCATCATTATGAGGACCATCCTCATTACTTGGAGAATCAGGGAAGGTCGGCAGAGGAACAAGAAAGCTCAAATCATCATGTGTACCGGTACCCTTCGCATCATAGTAGTTCAGATGTTCAATAAAAGCAACATTACAGGACACCCGAATACGCCGATAAGCTACGTCATAACAAACGTAACCCTTGTGTTTATCGCTATACCCAATGAACACACACTTAATAGCCTTGGGTGCAAGCTTGTGACGCTCCCACCGAGGCAACAGTACATAGCAAACACAACCGAAAACCTTCAACCAGTTATAATTAGGACGCCTGTTATAGAGAACCTCATAAGGACATCGATGAGACAGCACTGGAGTCGGTTGTCGGTTGATAAGATACACAATGGTATGAATTGCCTCCATCCAAAAACTCGAAGGAACACCAGAATGAAAAAGAATGGCACGTGTGAGTTCGAGCACATGTCGATGCTTTCGTTCAACCAGCCCATTTTGCTGAGACATTTCAGGACATGACTGCTGAGGAAGAATCCCACGAGCCTTAAAAATTTCATTCAGAGGACCAGAAGTAAACTCACCACCCGGATCATAACGTATCACCTTCACCATTCGCCCAAACTGAGTGTGAACCATTTGCAGAAATTCGGTAGCAGCACCGAGGATATCAGATTTTTGCCTAAGAAAATAGACCCACGTAAAACGTGTGGCATGATCCACAAACAAGGAAAGATATCGAAAACCCATGCGTGAAAGGACTGGAGAGGGTCCCTATAAATCTGTATGAACTAAGTCAAACGATTCTGAATTAATGGTAGAACTGGATCCAAATGACTGCTGTGATAACTTAGCCTCCACACAATGCACACAAGTACTAGAACAATCTGAAGTGTAAGAACCCGATAACAACTTATTCTTAAACATCTCAATCAAACGTGCAGAGTGAGGGTGGCCCAGACGACGGTGCCATAAGTCCCAATTGGACAATTTAACCAAAAACCAACTGTCTTAACATCAGAATCCGAAAAACCAACAGAATAATCCAAATCCGAACAAATAATAGGAGAATCTCCAGCGGCCAAACTGCCTACCCTATGCACCTCCTCCAGACCAGCACCATGAGAACCTGTTAACCGATCCAGAGTGTACACCCGACCAAGCTTACTCCCGCTGCCTATCTCCTTCCCCGTTCTCTTGTCCTGCACAATGCAGCCATGTGCATCAAAAACAATTCGACAACCCTTCTCAGCTAATTGCCCCACAGAGACGAGATTAGGTACTAATTTAGGAACATAAAGTGTGTCAGGAAGATGAAAACGGAGACCACTGATCACACCAATCCCCTGAGCAGACAAACAAGCCCCATCGGCAACCTGTAAACTAATAGAGCTGGCGGGCTGAAGAGTGCTAAATGAGTCACGTGAGCTAGTCATGTGATTAAATGCCGCCGAATCTAGATGCCAAGTAGAAGTAGAACAAGAGGAAGAAGGCATACCAGTAGTGAAGACGGACCCTAACGCAGAAGGCAAAACCTCGCGAACTGCCTCATTCAGCATATGACGGATGTCAGCTTGAGTAATTCCAAGACCAAAGGAAGCAGGTGATGGCGCAGCTGCAGGAGGGTAAGCAGCTGGTGGCGCGACGGCAAAAGCAGCCCCAGCAGGCTGCTGCCGCACAGAAGGTCTCGCAAAAGCAGCTCCAGTTGGCGGCGGACGGTAAGAAGAGGACCCCTAAGCACCACGTCCACGCCCACGCCGAGCCAAAATAGGGCATGCTCCAATTTTGTGTCCATCTGCCTTGCAGTAATTGCAGGAGTTACGTTTAGGACAATGACGCTGAACGAGACCCGGCTCTCGACAAAAATATCAAATAATCTCACTCGCCAAAGATCGATGAAACTTAGGTCTCTCCAAGCCCACAGCAAACGCCGAATGATCACCAGAAGGTGCAGATCCCTCACTCACAGCTAACACAGCCGAGGAATCCGACCCATGAAGATCTAACTTTGCATGACTGTGGAGACGAGTTTCTTCGCGGATTAACTCGCCCAAGACATCTTCGAGCTTGGTGACATTCCGATGCAGCAAAGAGGAGCGTATCCCTTCAAACTCTGCACGTAACTTCATCAGAAAGTGCATGGTACGCGAGCTAGCGCGCTCTTGAAGAACCTCAGCTGACGCAACACTCGAGATTAAGGACGATGTAAGTAAGTCATGCTCCATCCACAAACTCAATGCAGCCTGGTAATAGGAACGTATGTCCATGTCCCCCTGACTCAGCCGAGCAATCTCAACCTCCACCTAAAACTTTCGCGAAGCACTGGTATGAGAGTGTAGATCCGTCAAGTGCCGCCACATAGCATGAGCGGTGGTGAAACCCCGCAAACTGAGGGCGATCGCGGAGTCAACTGAGCTGAGAATCCACCCGATCACCTGGGCATTATTGATCGCCCACTCCGTCTTCTCCTTCGCATCGGCAGTAGCGGCCGGCTCCGGCTGAGACCCATCAAGAATGGGCAGTAATCGACGACCTTGGACAAAGACCAGAAAATGGAATTCCCATAGAGGAAAATTCCTCCCATTGAACCGAACTGAAACCCCATCAATCTTGGTTGAATCCATGCGCGTAGATAGGCTAAGACCAAAAAAATAATAAACCCAATACCCAGGAAGCTGCCGAACACCACCAATCAAGAGAGCTGAATAAAAATTAAATCCAAGGCCAAAGGAAGCCGCCGAACAGAACCAACGAAGCTGCCGAACAGAATCAATCAAAGAGAGCTGAAGAAAAAATTAAATTCCAAGCCAAAGGAAGCCGCCGAACAGAACCAACGAACGAGAGCAGAAGCTAATAGAGAACCCGAGACCAAAGGAAGTCACAGAGAATAACCGACCAAAGGGAGCTGAAGCAAGAGCTGAAGGAATACCCAAAAACGAAGACAAAACCTGAAGAGCAAGAGCCCGACGTCGCCAAGAAGAGCTGCTGAAGTGAACCGCAAAGAATAATCCAAACTGAACACGGAATTACGCGAGAGGCTCTGATACCATGTCGACCAGAGTGAAATAAGAAGGAACAACACACGATTTACGTGCTATCCTCGACGATGATGTGGAGACTAATCCACGGAGAGGAGCAACCTCTCAGAGTCAATCGTATAATAAGGCGATAGAATACTCAGGTTACAAGAGGGGCGGCCTTCAGCTTATGTACACAGCCACCAAACCCTAACTACGGCTTAAACGTAATTAAGCTAAACAAGGTTAATTACATTTTACTACTTACACTGTCGATGAGGATCCCTTGCACGTCGGAGATGTTCGCGAACACCTGCACGTAAATCATAATTCGGTGAAAATTGTTGCGTATTATTATTGAAATCATATAGGATTTATAAAGAGCATAATAGTCGACTGACTCCTATAATAATAACATTAACCCATGTAGTGAAAATCGCGATTTAAAACTTAAAAATCATGTTTTTACGCTTCTACGTAAAATCATAGTTTTTATGACTAATGTAGCTAAATACGCGCTTTAAAAGTTAAAAGCTTACGTTTACATTTTTGCATCAGAAAAATGACGTAAAACATGCTTTCGAATACATTAACCTTAATACCAATATAAAAACTACCTAACTTCTACAACTATTGATAAGGAAGATAACTCTATCAAATTACGTAACAATACTCGTGTAGTAATAACATAATACTACGACTCGTACTACCCATACTCTAATACGTACCTGGCTCGGTATTTCCAGCACCTCGCCTCCGAGGCTGATTTTCTGGAGCGGGAGGAAGTAGTGACCGAGATCGTTGGTGCGGAAGGGGGTCGAGTCGCCAGCGAGATCGGCGTCTCCGGCTCCGATGGAGAGGTGGTTGTAAGGGTAGGAGTGGTCGAACACGTCGCCGACGCAGTAGGAGAAGACGGAGCCGAGTTTGACAACGAGAGAGGTCTCCTCGTAGGACATTTTCTGGATGCCGCCCAGTGCGAAGATTCCGGTGAGGATCTTGTGGAAGGGGTTGGTTCCGGTTGAGGTTGGTGCAGCAGCCGAACTGGACGTCGGGGACGGTAGCGATCCCATTGTCGGAGGTGCGAAAGGTGAGCTGCTCGGTGGAGTATATTCCTTCGGAGTGGTCGCCGTCGTGGTAGTCTAGTGTGTACGTGCAATGACTCGGCACCTTTCCTGCGTAAATGAATGAATTGCTCAGTAAAATCATATCCGCTGTCTGAAAGAAAAAATCATCCATAGGAACCCAAATCGGTATGTGTATGTCGTTTTAGTGGCATGAAACTGTTGAATCACGATGAAACCCAGCTCAAGCATAAAATTTTATATTAGCTATGGAGCAGTCCAATGAATTTTAGAGACTCTGTCTAGAATTGAGATGTAATCTCATTTTTTTAAGTATAATAAAATAAAATAAATCATAACATATTATTTAAAAAATAATATCAAAGAAATCAGCTATTAACATTTCAGTATAAATTTGTTACGTCACTTTATAACGTAATATGGATTTCAATCCACAAATATGACTCTTAAGGATGAATATGCATGTATAGTTTATATATACATAAAAACATGGACCAATGACTTGCATTAGTAGTAATTAATAAATTAAGACGCATTATCATAACCATAATCACACACCACAAATTTCGTCATATAATATACGATTGAATTAACTAACAAAACTACGATGGAAACCAACCTAATATTGGGAGGCCTTATGCTAGAGTTCATCCCAACACTTCGTTAACCGCCACTAGAGGTGGCAATTGGATCGGATTGGTGGATTGGTGGATTAGATTGGTGGATCCATAGATCAAATGGATTGGATCCAATGGATTGGTGGATTGATCCATGAATCCAAATGACATCCAAGGCTTGGACCAAAATGTAAAATTTGAAAAGTTTTGGTACTAAAATATCATAATGAAAATTTTTAGGTACCAAAATGTAATTTTCCAATGATATTTTTCGTATAAAAATATAAATTTTAGGTACCAAAATGTAAAATATAAAAAATATAGGAACCAAATCGTAATTTGCTATTTGGATCCATGGATTGATCCATGAATCCATCAATCCAATTGGATTTGGATAAAATGGATTGAATTTAAATGGATTGGATTAGGTGGATAATTTGGTGGATGGATTGGATTGGATTCATGGATTTGGATCCTAATTGCCACCTCTAACCGCCACTAATAATTTATCACTGAATTTTCTGATACAACCTCTAATATTTTTTTCCCGATCCTTGCTAATAATAAGCTATCAAATTATGTCTACTTAGAATGAATTAGTTAATTACCTGTAGTGCACCTCCTACACTGACTGCTACACGCCTGTGCGCTATAGGTCTTGGACCGGGCCGGGTCGAACAGCGCGCCAGTATTAGAATATAGGACCTGAATGTAATTCGTACTTAGTTAGATGATCATATTGTAAATATACATAGGTTAGTTAAGAGTTAGCTAGATAGTTAGACTTTATAAGCTGTAATAATCTGCAGTCTTCCTTACATTTTTTTCATTCAATCAAGAAAGTTTTCAGTCTTAATCCGAAACTCTAGCATGGTATCAGAGCTCTTCTAAGTTGCCTCGCTCATCTTCTCGCTTCCGCATACTCATCTTCTTCCAATTCCTTCGCAAAGCTTTCTTCGCGTCCTCCTATGGCATCGAATTTCTCTGCTCCTTCTGGCTTCGAAGCCGAAAATCCTCACAATGGAGGTCGCCAGCACGGATCTGGTGGAGTTTCTTACCTCGGCATCGCGATTTCTGATCCGGCTTCTCCCTTTTTCATTCATACTTCGGAGAATTGGGGGCAATGCCTGGTATCGCAGCCGCTTACTGAAAATAACTTCTCCAGCTGGGAGAGATTGATGATTCTGGTCATCGATGGCAAGAACAAGCTCAGGTTCTTGAACGACAAGATTTCGCAGCCACAAAACGATTCTCCTCTTCTTGAGCCATGGAATCACAACAACAAACTTCTGCTAAGCTGGATTCAGGGATCGGTGAATCCTACCATCGCCGAGAGCATTCTGTATGTTACAACGGCGATTGGTGCCTGGAACGAGCTGAGAGAGCAATTTTCTCAAGGGGATTCGTTCAGAATTGCTGATCTTCGGGAGTCCATCTTCCTTCTTAAGCAAGGTACTCTGAGTGTCTCGCAATACTACTCTAAACAATGAGCTCTATGTGATCTATTGGCTAATTTTAGGTCTATCCCTGATTGTGAGTGTGGCGTTGCTTGTCACTGCATTCTTGCTTCTCTTAGGAAAGATCATATGAATGATAAAGTGATCAGATTCTTAAGAAACCTGAATGATAGTTTCAATGCCCCTAGATCAACAATCATGCTCCTTGATCCCTTGCCTCCCATCAACAAGGTTTTCGCCATGATGGTGCAACATGAATGCGAGAACAATCTGTTGCCTAAGCCTAATTCTGGTTCCCAGTCTACCTCCAATCCTACTGCTGATAGTATGGCCTTCTTTACCAGAGCTGCTGGTACTAATCTTGGGATTCAGGGAGCTGGCGAAGGGTTCAAGAAGCAGGGCAAGAAGCCTGTTTGCACTTTTTGTGGCTGTACTGGTCACACCGAGGATATTTTCTACAAAAAGAATGGCTATCCCCCTTGTTATCAACCAAAGAAAAAGAACCCTCCAAGACAAGCCAACAACATTACTGTTGAGCATGGAGAATCTTCCTCTGGTGGTGGTGCAATAATGGTTAATCCAGCTGACTGGATGAGTTTTCAGCAGCAGTACAGAAGATGATGCAATTCATGCAATCTCTGCTCCTCCACAAGCATCTCAGCAACCTGCATCTCCCAATTTTGCTGATGTTTTCATGGGTAATCAAGTCTCTCACCCAACACAGTCTACTGAAAATGATGGTTCTGGATCACATCCCATTGTCAGCAGATCCAACTCAGTGGCTTCTCATGTCTCACATGCTACTACTACACAAGGTAAATTCAGTTTAGCCCTTTCGGTTACTTTTTCTCTTACCAGCAAATGGATTATTGATACAGGCGCTACTGATCATATCATTTGCTCTATAAAACACTTCATTACTCATAAACAAGTTCTTAACACCTATGTGCATTTGCCCAATGGTGATCATGCAACACCACGACTTTGGGTTCAGGTTCGACCCGGGAATGGTTGAGTTAACGGTTACGTACGAAGGGTTGCAACCGCTGATTATGAATAATAATAATAATAACTACTATATTATTAATATTATTTAAAAAAAATATTAAAGGGAAGGAACCGCTCGGCCCCTGATTAATCCCCCAGTTCGAGCTTCCAAACCGAGAAACCCTTTTTCCCTAACCCTAGCCTTCACCCGCCGTGGTACTTCTCTCGTGAACATCCTCCTTTCCGGCGCTAGCTCATTATCATCGACGCAGCTTTAGTTAACAGCACATGGGATCTGCTGCTGAATCTGCGACCATGACAACCCATCGAAGTTTAGCTGAGAAGAAGCCTACTGTTGTTTTTGTGTTGGGTGGCCCGGGCAGCGGAAAGGGTACGCAATGTGCAAATATTGTTGAGCACTTTGGTTATACAAATCTTAGTGCAGGCGATCTTCTTCGGGAAGAAATCAAGTCTGGCTCTGAAAATGCCCCTACTCAATCTCTCTACGGTAATTCCTATTTTTTGACAATTGTAGACGATTTTTCCAGGCATACCTGGTTATTCCTAATGAAACATAAGTCAGAGGTTAGAAATGTCATCATCTTCTTTGAATATGTTTCTACACAATTCAATGCTAAAATCATAACAGTAAGAACAAATAATGGACGGGAATTTCAAATACCATACTTTTACAAATCCAAAGGAGTTGTTCATCAAACCACTTGTGTATATACATCTCAACAAAATGACATTGTTGAGAGAAAACATCAGCATATACTAGCAGTCACCAGATCTCTTCTATTTCAAGCATTCTTACCTACTAATTTCTGGCATTTTGCTACTATGCATGTTGTACATCTCATAAACAGAACTCCTACTCCACTCCTTCAGAATTCCACTCCTTATGAGAAACTCTATGGTCACAAGGTTGATCTGAGTTACCTAAAGGTTTTTGGGTGCCTTACCTAGGCATCTACTATACAAGCACTTAGAACTAAACTAGATCCTAGAGCAACACCTAGTGTGTTTCTGAGTTTTCCTGCTGGTACTAAGGGTTACAGATTGTACAATCTGACTACTCATGCAATCTTTATCTCAAGATATGGTGTGTTTCATGAGGACATCTTTCCATTGTATAAGGAAATTCCTCAAAACAATACTCCAGTTCCTTTTCCTGTTTTTCCAGAATCCTTACCTCAACTGGATTCTTCTATTGATGTTACTTCAGTCCCAGCTGACACTATTCCAGTTATCTCTGCTCCTCTTCCTGTATCAACCACAGTTCCAGCAGTAGCTATTCCTACTCCTACTTCTATTCCTTCTCATCCTCCACTAAGGAAATCTTCTAGAAAAAGAGTCCAACATGCCAGGTTAAAAGACTACAAATGTAATCTGATTGGCTCTACTACAAACACAGACCTAAGTATCGCACATCATATTCAGGATATCTTAACTTACAGCAGTCTTAGTCCTAATCACAAGAAGTTTGCACTTGTAATTGGCCTTCTTAGAGAACCACGTACATACAAAGAAGCTGCTCAATATGAAGAATGGCTCAAAGCTGTCCCGTCAGAAATAGCTTCCCTATTAAACACTAAAACTTGGATGCTAGTAGATCCCCCAATTAATAAACCAATCATTGGCAATAAATGGGGTTTTCAAATCAAATTCGTTTCAGATGGCAGCATTGACAAGTTTAAAGCTCGTCTAGTTGCTAAGGGATACACACAGACCCCTGGTGGTGACTACTTAGAAACCTTCTCTCCTGTTGTCAAAATGACTACTGTTAGAATCCTTCTAGCATTAGCATCCATTAACAATTGGGTCCTAGAACAGTTAGATGTAAATACAGCCTTTCTTCATGGTGATTTAAATGAAGAAGTCTACATGCTTTACCACCTGGTCTTCAAGTTAGTGATGCTGATAA